TCAAGTGCACGTTAGAAACAAAAATAAAAAAAAAACTTTTAGAAGAATTAGAGACAGCAGGAATTTAAGCCATTATTGACATTAGTCAATGGCTCTGATACCTTGAGAAGAGGCAGTAGAAAAACAGAGAAAAATCTGTAAATTTCTGGTGTTTCTTCTTATTTTATTTCACCAAGAGTAAAGTGTACAGCTGATGAGTTTATATACAGAGTAAAATAAATAGAAGCATAACATTTTCAACAACTTATAACAGAATTTTAACAGAAATGTAACGGAGAGGACTTAGGAGCCTTGTAGCATTTTCTCTTTTACATCCTTCCTCATACTAGGCTTGCTCTCAACTTAGGAGATTAGGAGACTTGATTCTTCTTCATATCTCCTCGTAAACCAAACTGGATTAGGAGACTTGATTCTTCTTCATATCTCCCCGTAAACCAAACTGGATTAGGAGGCTTGCTTCTTCTTCATATCTCCCGGTAAACCAAACTTGTGTAGTTATTGATCAGTAGCTAACTTCTTATTCATAAGTTCACATCAAGATAAAAGAGGATCCATATTAAGTATCCAATTATTGTTCTTATGAACAACATTCTTAAAAGAGTGACAGCTTCACCAATCTTAACCATTTCTTTTAAAATTGTCTAAATAAATTTTGCAATATCTAGAATTTGAGCAAAGCACAATGATATGTATATATATAAATTGCTAAATCCCATGATCCCATAACCTAATCTCATTATACCAAAGAAAATTTTCCCAAAGTTAGGGAGGACATTGATTAGAAACACAAATTAAAAGAGAGATTCTCATCATTCATCCAGATTGTGAGAAAACACAGATGCTTGTATATGAGAATTTTTTATGCAAACAAACATCTTGCATTACATAATAAATGTAGAATTTATTTATGTATATATTTGTATAACTAACACATAAATTGGCATTTATTACACCTCAATAGAACAGGAAATATAAGATGAGTGATTTTGGATGATGATTTGCATATACTCCCAGAGCATAAGATGAGAATTACATAAAATATGTATATGAATTCGATTTTTTCAGATTTTTTTGACAATTTAATTACCTTTAAAATACAGGAGAAAAACAATCACGGGGAATCTTGAAGAATATAAAACAGATAAAGTAATGTTGTAATTAGTGAATGTTAAGGATAATTAGAGATGGTGCCTTATAGATCTGATGTCTTCTAAATTTAACATTGCATTCCACGGAGCCATGATGCATAGCTTACGACAGACCAAATGTTTTAAGAAACCAATAAATCCAAAAGTCAATAGCAAGTTATTTGGTAAGAGTCCGAGGCAAGGCTATCAATAAGTTTCGGAGACTTCCTCATATGAAAATTAGAGTCCAAGGCAACGAGTAATCGAGACTTGATTGAGATGATTCATTTTTTGCGATGTGTGAGAGACTCAGAAAGACACAAGTAGTATTACTTGATCCAAAAACTTAAGTTATTAAGCTAAGATCCAACGCTAATATTAAGTTTTACTCTCGAGAAATTCTAATTTTAAAATTTTCACTTAAAGACCTCAAATGTATCGAATCGACAATGAATATTCCATATTATTATGTGCTATACAAATTATAAAAAATTTAATGGGTGTCTATTCACGAAGCTAGCTTAATTGCGATATAAATGTTGTTTTGGTACTTAAGAAAGGTTAATGATCTAAGTAAGAAGATTAATCAAGATCATTTGGAATAATTTATTGTATATTACGAGGTTGGTTTTATTGCTATATACAATGTTCTAACTTTTTACCAATAATAACATTGATCAATTGTCAAACTTATTATTTTATTTTTGTCTTCTATTTGTCACTTTTTGACTATATAAGGATATTATATATAGTTGTATATGACATGAAAAATAAGGGGAAAAAAAAAAAAAAATTCAATACTTATGTAAAAACCTCAATGAAAAGAAGGAAAAATTTGTTAATAAAAGAAGAAACCTAGCCAAACTATGGCTTAAATCACATACTTCTACTCAACCACTATTTACATAATATATGTAAATATAGCTTCTTTTTCTTTTTTTCTTTTTTTTTAATAATCCATAAATTTCATGTCTTTGCCAAGTGCAAAACTGAAGTCTCCACCAAAACCCTGTAATATTTAAGAAATGAGAAACAATGATCTTTGGCGGCTAAACCCTTATGGGTGCATCATATGGTAGTAACTGACACCATTTTATTGATATCTTCATAGATGAACATTTGGGGAAACAAAAAAAAAGCCCTGAGATCTAGACTCTTAGTGTCGGTTAATTAATGTTAAGAAACAAATTTTTTACAATTTTTCGATGTAAAACTGTTTGAATAAAATTTTATCTTTTAACATTAACCGGCATAGGTAAATAGGAATTCGGAGTTTAAAGAAATCCGGACTTCAATCCTAAGGATTTTCGTATGGTATATTACCCATTGATCATATATAAACACACCAAATTATTAGTGTACCTAATTATTATCTAATCTCTTTCAAAGAGGAACCAAGTGGAAGCTACTGTGTATTTGTAGACGGATGCCCAAATTATTGAATGAAATGTCTATTCAAAGGAGATTTTTCAGATTGCACAACAACGTTATATCAGATTTGACTATCGAAGGAGAAGGAGAGTTTTCTTTATTGAACTGTTATGTGCTAGCAATTCAATATGCAATATTGCAACTTGCACTATGGTGGCATATTTGGTTTTCATGTTTGTGGGCTATAATAATCGCAAGCAAATTAATATCAGCTGCAGTCACCCTCATCCTCTCATTCTATTCCTTTTTCTTCCCAGACTTATGAAGAGATATCATATCCTCTTTTAGACAATCACTAGCTTTAGGTACCTTTTCTTTAATTTGACAACACTACATCAAGCGATCAAAGACATAATGAAACATCATCTATGATCCTGATCTTATGCTAGATATCCCCTATGGATAAGTAGATTTTATTGGTGATAAAGTTGAAAATAATGGTATATGTTTCATACATCACATCCAAGTCACTAACAAATAAACTCATTTAGGGTTTAATCGGATGGTCAGACTTGTGGTTTAATTGCTCCCACAAGGTCTGGGGTTTGAGGACCCTCATTGGCACTTGCATGCCAAAGGCTATTGTTTTCCTACTTCCCAAAGATTATAGGGTTCGATAGAGGCTCTAGTTTGGATAAACACATTTTTGATGAAAGACATTTATATAAAGCTCAAAAGCCAATCCAATAGAGTGAATGACACTTTTGTAAAATTTAAAACAAATAGTATCTACTTGATGGGGTTCAAGTCGTTACACCATAGCATACTAACATCATCTTTTTCAACTACGTATTCACAATGCGTGAAAGACACTTACATAGAACTCGAAAGCAAATTTGAAAGAGTGATGAAACTTGAGTAAAACTTAAAGCGAACAATATCATTTTAATTGGATTCGGACTGTTACACCATTAACTTTCGAATAATGTCCACAACTTTAAGACCTTCCACATCAACTTTTGATCGATAAATAATAGTACACCATATCTTTAGTACAGAGTAAGCTGGCCAAACTTGCAAAAAGCCTTAAGTCGAGACTTGTGTCACCCCAACCATAACACTAAGAATAATTTTTAGATTTTGTGAAAAGAAAGTGTCTTTAAAATTAACAGCTAAGCTACTCTCCAGTATGTAGAAGACATGAAATGCTGGCCATGCAATTATAGTCACATATGTTTGTCTCATGAACAGTCTCGTACTGCAATTTCTTTGGGTCCATATCCATATTAATTAATCCAGAGGCACGGACATTTTCATTCAATCATTTTTGCACCCCCGACCTGTTTGATATATATACGTAATATAAATTCAGCTCTTCCCTTTTTAATCTTCTAATAAGTTCATTTATCTCTTTTCCTTTCTTTTTTTCTAGTTTTTTTATTTTTTTGTTTTTTATTTTTTATTCAACCATATATATCATCTCCAAGATAAAGCTTTGAATCATGCTGTAATTTTATCGTCATAACGACAACCATAAGGTAACGTATTCCTTTATAATAATAAAAATAACATATTTTGATGCAGACAATAAATGGTTTTCGAGCATCTAGTTGGATGTACTATAAAAGGAAAACCATCCTTCCAGCATGCCTTGTATATACATTGTCTTACACTAAAAAGATAAGTGTAAGATTAACATGCATAGCTCATAGACGTTTCAGTTTTCTCATTTTCAATTTGCATTTGTCTTTGTTCACATGCAAAGTAGCATTAAGATAAGTAAGCGGTAAACGCTCTGTACCCCTGAGTTATCAGAAATTAAAATGCAGTCCCTTTTGTTTGGGAAAGGCCTAACTACCTCCCTCTTCCATTAGTTTTTGCCATTAAAACCAAAGTATGACCAATTTGACAACTAAATGACAAAATTGTCCCTAAAAGTGAAAAATCTTAAAAATCCAAAGAGAGAAAATGGGAAATTTTTATTCTTTATATATATATTTCTTGTGTTTAAGGTAATTTTTATTAAGTTTTGGCATTTACTTAATAAAAAAACTCAAATTTTCACTTTTTTTGTTTTCAAATTTTGGTAGATTCTTATTTTAAAGATGTTTTGGTCATTACATAAGTCAAATTGTCAACAATTAAAGTTAACTATAAAAACTAATGACAAGAGAGGTAATTGGTCATTCTCCAAACTAGGGAAACCAAATGGTAATTTCAGATAACCCAGGGCTACAAAATGAATTTATCCCAAATGAACATACAAATTAAAGAACAAACAATCAAATTTATACGTTACAATTAAAGCCAGAGCCACCACAAACCCAGGAAAAAAGTAAACTTTTTTCTAGGTTTTGCTTACATTTCATCCTTAGCGGTTCCTAATATTGACAAAAATTCCCCATAACTTTCACCACCTTTATATGCATTACATTGCTCATCAAAACCAAAACATTCTATATGTGTTTTCAGAAACAATAAAAACATTTTCGTTATAGAAAGATGATTGTTAAAGAAAATAAAACGCTTTCACTTGCATTGTTGGTGCTCGTGTTGCTAAATTATTCGAACACCGTTGCGGGAGATCCTCTTATTACAGGATTGTTCGTGTTCGGAGACTCACTTGTTGATGTTGGTAACAACAATTATCTTAGCTCAATTGCAAAGGCAAATTATTATCCTTATGGTGTTGATTTTGAATTTGGCACCACTGGTAGATTTTCCAATGGCAAAACCTTTGTTGATTTTCTTGGTAAGTTTCAAATATATATCCCATCTTATTAGATATCGTTTCTAATTTGTTGGTAATGTATTTTGAGTAATCCGTTACCATTCAAACGTTGACAAACTAATTGTTAATTATGTCACTTGATATATAGAGTGATATTTTATACTTTGTGAGCATAGTATTATTGATTATTAATTTAAATTTTTTTATTGTTTTTCTATGTAGCAAGGATGCTAGGTGTGCCATACCCCCCAGCCTTTGCAGATCCAAACACAAATGGAGCAAGAATTCTTGGTGGAGTCAATTATGCTTCTGCAGCTGCTGGTATTCTTGACGAATCAGGCCAACATTATGTATATTTCACTTATCCCATACTTCAACTCATTAATTATCTTCGTTATAACATTTATATTCACATTAAATTTAATTGGGGTACTAGTAATGACAACGGTTAAACGATATTATGGTAACAAATATCAATGTTTTGATAGTAATATTTATTAAGGCTCTTGATGCTGACAATTTCTTAAGGGCACACATTTAATTGTAAGAAGCTGCAGAAAAATAATATAAAGTAGATAAAAAAAAAAAATTTAATAAGAAGTGTTTGAATAATTTTTGGGTCAAATTAAACGTCAAAGTTTAAAAATAAATAGATAAATTTATTGATTATCATAAAGATGAAAATAGGTTATTATATGCAAAGAAAATATTAGATATATTTGAAAAATGGGACAATGAACTAGCAAAATAAACCACCCACTTGTGGCCGGATAGATATAAGAATGTATGGTTGAAAGTGGCACTCCCTCACCGGTTCTTGAGTTCGAGTTGTACCAAGGGTGGTCAATTATAAGACCTAAAAAAAAAAAAAAAGTAAAATAAGTATATGGGCGAAGGGCACATATTCAAAATAGTACTATAATATAAGAAAATATTAAATATTGATCAAGTAATGTTTAATGTATGTAAATTTGTTCATATATGCAGGGTCAGAGATATACTCTAAGCCAACAAGTGCTGAATTTTGAGACGAACACGTTGAATCAATTAAGATCGATGATGGGTGCAAGTAAATTGACTGATTATCTTGCCAAATCCATTTCAATTTTGGCTTTTGGGAGCAATGACTATATCAACAACTATCTCTTGTCTACTTACCCTTCCCAATACACCTACACTCCCCAACAATTTGCTAATCTCTTACTCAATCGCTATGCAAGACAACTTCTGGTATGTGTTTGATATAATATTTAAAAACTGTTTTCAGATTTTTTTAATTTGTTTGATATAATTTTTAGAAACTGTTGTCAAAATTTTAGTTTTTCTTTTATGATTGTATCTGAAAACTATTATTTGGTCGTAATATTTCAATTAAATGCATTTTCATTTATGAGATTTTTGTGTCACTTTGTTGCAGGCACTATATAGTGTAGGACTCAGAAAATTCTTAGTAGCTGGAATTGGACCTCTTGGTTGCATCCCTAATCAGAGAGCTCAAGCACCTTCTGGAAGATGTAATGATTATGCAAATCAAATACTTGGAACATTCAATGAAGGACTCAAACCACTTATGGATGAATTGAACAAGCGATGCCCTGGTGCAATTTTTGTGTCCTTTAACACTTATGCTGCTGTTGGTGACATCCTTAATAACCCTGCAACATTTGGTAAGTTAGCCGCAATTACTTATAATATTTTCTGATAAATAAATTCTCAGGTGTGGACGGTTGTTAGTTAATCGATGGTAACAAATACTTAATTAAAGACTAAATTTCATAATTTGATTGTTGTTAACCCATGGTAATAAATGACATAAACAGAACAAATAGAAAAAAAATCAAACCAATTCTTTAAATGCCTTTCTAGATATTTCTCAATGTCTCGAGTAACACAGAATGAGAAGGATTATTAAGTACAAATGGTAAACTTTTCTAACTATAAAAGAGTATGGGTTGATAAATTTATTTTGCAGGATTCAATACTGTTGATAGGGCATGCTGTGGAATAGGGAGGAGCCAAGGGCAAATAACATGTCTTCCATATGTAATGCCATGTTTTAATAGAAATCAATTTGTGTTTTGGGATGCTTTCCATCCAACAGATGCTGTTAATGCCATTCTTGCAAGGAAAGCAGCTTATGGCTCATCTATGGATTATTGGTACCCCTTCAATCTACTCAACATCACTCTCAACCAATGATCACAAGAAACAAAATTAGTGAGATGAAAAATAAAATGAAGAAGAACAAGAACAAGAAGAAGAATCCCTTATATATTAGCAAATTAATATCATGTATTTATAATTAATTCTATATGTGTGTGTGTGAGTGTGAAAGGGTTTTGCTTATAATTAAGGAAACATTCCTAAATTGTGATTCCATCTTCACTCTACATTTTTATATTATGGCATTGGATTAATTTATGTGATCCCCAACAATTTTTATTTTTATTTTTTTGTTTTAAATTGTAAAATTAATCATATTTGTGTTCTTAAGTACTTATAAAGTCGTTTGATGAATTATTTTCTTCGTTAAAAGTTGTATTTGTCTCACACGCTAACAATAACCATAATGTAATTTTATCAATCACAGAACATTAGTGGTCTAATAACAATTAATTATAATATTGTGCTAACATTTAATAGTGATTATGTTCCGTTTTCACATATTAATTTTTTTAGTAATATATTGAAATTAAAAATTATTTATAGTGATTAAAATATTGTTACAAGTATATAGTCAAACCACAACTTAGATTTAGTTACTTCGATCGACTAAACTGAGAAAAAAAAAAAAAAAATCGATAGCCCAAACAGCCCATGGGCCATGGCCCAACACAGGACACAACACTTCGGTCGTCACTCTCTTCTCCAAGACAAAACGCAGTGAACTGAGCCGTCAAAGCAGGGGCTTTGTTTTGTTTTGTTTCGCCATTTGAGTTTTTGTAATAACAAAAATGGCACCCATCATTTCTTCTCTCAGAAAATCACTCTCTCCCCACTCTTCTTACACAAAATCTCTTCTTTACTCTCAAACTTCCCACCGTTTTTACTCCCCAAAACCCCCACCAGCCGCACCCCACCAAGAAGTAGATGACGAGATTCCTACTTCGGGTTTAAGCAGGCCTTTGTCTGAGGTTCTTAAAGAACTCAACAAGAAAGTCCCTGAATCTCTTGTTAAACTTCGAGTTGAAGATGGGTTCTCCATGAAGTACATTCCTTGGTAATATCAAGTTTGCTTTTTCATTTGAAAGTGACAAACCCTTTTGCTTTTTTGATGTTTTCTTGGCATTATCATTGACCCTTTTGATTGTTTGCAGGCATATTGTTAATCGGATTATGAATCTTCATGCTCCTGGTATGCAATTTATGGATAAATTTTGTTGCTTTTTAAGTTTTTATAAGCTTGTACGCTTTTGTTTTATCAATTATAGGGAAGTTTAGTGAGGGTTTTGATGAGTTCTAGGGAAGGTTTGCGATGATTTTGAATACTTTGTTGAGGTCTGGGGTTATTTTTCAATCTTAAACTGTAATTGTAATTAGGCCAAGAGGATTAAGTGGGGAGTTTTTATAGTCTATTCTGGACCTTGTTGAGGTTTGTTTGGAACTTCGAAAGTTGTAGAATCTGTCCTTAGTTTAGATGAAACTCGCGTGGTGGAATGAATTTTTACTTTGTAGAGGTTTGAGGTTATTTTTCAAACCAAAAGAACACTTGTAATTAGGCCAAAAAGATTAAGTGAGAAGTTCTTATTGTCTATTCTGGACCTTATCGTCAGGTTTGGCCTAAATATAATTAGACCATTTGTTTCAAAAAAAATAAACTGTTTTGAGGAATTTCGAAACTACGAGAATATGTGCGTGTTTTAGTTAATGCTTGCGTGCCTAGGACTTTCTTAGTGTAGTTTAATTTTTTATTCAAAAGAAGACTTTAAACTGAAGATGATGATTGCAGAATGGTCTGGTGAAGTTCGCAACATTATTTATTCTGCTGATGGAAAGTCGGTATCCGTTGTCTATCGTGTTACACTTTATGGGACTGATGCTGAGGTATTTTTTCTGTTCTCATTGTTACATTTGTTGAAAGATATTCTGTTGTTTTTATTTCTGATTGGACATAATGTGATAAACTGTTTTAAGTGTCAGATTTGACTTGGTAAGTGCTGAGAACTAGTTTAGGAACCTAGTTGCCTGAAATAGTTTAGTTTTCCCTTGGTTTGTAGATAGATGTGGCCATCGTTGCAATTTTCTGAACCCAAGTTTTCTGCATTTTGGGTCTTCTATAAATACTCGAAAGCCTGAAAGGACAGTGTTTAATGTGTGGACTGATTATTTTCTGGTTATATATGCACGAGTTATTGTTGAGTTTACTATTGTTTTGTTGATAGTTGGTGTTAAAATTCTCAATATTATGCGCGTTTTATCATTCTATGCCTTGTCCAAAACTGAGATTCTATTTTAGGGTTGGGTCCTTCTTCCTAAAGTCTGGTTTCAAGTTGAAGAAATGTTTCTTTCTCAAATTTTTTGCTGAGAAATTGATCGACTTTAACTTGAATTTCCAAATACATTGCTCTAAAATCTTATTATGTGTATAATCATCTGCTGTTTGGAGTTTTAAACCGTGCGATTTTACAGTGTTTTCTCTTTTNTGATAGCCCAAACAGCCCATGGGCCAAGGCCCAACACACGACACAACACTTCGGTCGTCACTCTCTTCTCCAAGACAAAACGCAGTGAACTGAGCCGTCAAAGCAGGGGTTTTGTTTTGTTTTGTTTCGCCATTTGAGTTTTTGTAATAACAAAAATGGCACCTATCATTTCTGCTCTCAGAAAATCACTCTCTCCCCACTCTTCTTACACAAAATCTCTTCTTTTCTCTCAAACTTCCCACCGTTTTTACTCCCCAAAACCCCCACCAGCCGCACCCCACCAAGAAGTAGATGACGAGATTCCTACTTCGGGTTTAAGCAGGCCTTTGTCTGAGGTTCTTAAAGAACTCAACAAGAAAGTCCCTGAATCTCTTGTTAAACTTCGAGTTGAAGATGGGTTCTCCATGAAGTACATTCCTTGGTAATATCAAGTTTGCTTTTTCATTTGAAAGTGACAAACCCTTTTGCTTTTTTGATGTTTTCTTGGCATTATCATTGACCCTTTTGATTGTTTGCAGGCATATTGTTAATCGGATTATGAATCTTCATGCTCCTGGTATGCAATTTATGGATAAATTTTGTTGCTTTTTAAGTTTTTATAAGCTTGTACGCTTTTGTTTTATCAATTATAGGGAAGTTTAGTGAGGGTTTTGATGAGTTCTAGGGAAGGTTTGCGATGATTTTGAATACTTTGTTGAGGTCTGGGGTTATTTTTCAATCTTAAACTGTAATTGTAATTAGGCCAAGAGGATTAAGTGGGGAGTTTTTATAGTCTATTCTGGACCTTGTTGAGGTTTGTTTGGAACTTCGAAAGTTGTAGAATCTGTCCTTAGTTTAGATGAAACTCGCGTGGTGGAATGAATTTTTACTTTGTAGAGGTTTGAGGTTATTTTTCAAACCAAAAGAACACTTGTAATTAGGCCAAAAAGATTAAGTGAGAAGTTCTTATTGTCTATTCTGGACCTTATCGTCAGGTTTGGCCTAAATATAATTAGACCATTTGTTTCAAAAAAAATAAACTGTTTTGAGGAATTTCGAAACTACGAGAATATGTGCGTGTTTTAGTTAATGCTTGCGTGCCTAGGACTTTCTTAGTGTAGTTTAATTTTTTATTCAAAAGAAGACTTTAAACTGAAGATGATGATTGCAGAATGGTCTGGTGAAGTTCGCAACATTATTTATTCTGCTGATGGAAAGTCGGTATCCGTTGTCTATCGTGTTACACTTTATGGGACTGATGCTGAGGTATTTTTTCTGTTCTCATTGTTACATTTGTTGAAAGATATTCTGTTGTTTTTATTTCTGATTGGACATAATGTGATAAACTGTTTTAAGTGTCAGATTTGACTTGGTAAGTGCTGAGAACTAGTTTAGGAACCTAGTTGCCTGAAATAGTTTAGTTTTCCCTTGGTTTGTAGATAGATGTGGCCATCGTTGCAATTTTCTGAACCCAAGTTTTCTGCATTTTGGGTCTTCTATAAATACTCGAAAGCCTGAAAGGACAGTGTTTAATGTGTGGACTGATTATTTTCTGGTTATATATGCACGAGTTATTGTTGAGTTTACTATTGTTTTGTTGATAGTTGGTGTTAAAATTCTCAATATTATGCGCGTTTTATCATTCTATGCCTTGTCCAAAACTGAGATTCTATTTTAGGGTTGGGTCCTTCTTCCTAAAGTCTGGTTTCAAGTTGAAGAAATGTTTCTTTCTCAAATTTTTTGCTGAGAAATTGATCGACTTTAACTTGAATTTCCAAATACATTGCTCTAAAATCTTATTATGTGTATAATCATCTGCTGTTTGGAGTTTTAAACCGTGCGATTTTACAGTGTTTTCTCTTGTTTTTTTTTTTTTTTTTTTTTTAGGGAAACCTCAACGGCATGAGGGAAATTTATTGATTAAAACTGAAAATACACCTAATCAGAGGGGACATAATGAACCTTACCCCTTTTCATGAAAAATCCTATTACAAGGAAATCAACAAAGTTACATTGTTTTCTCTAGAAATCATATTCTGTAAGCTTGTTCTAATTGTTTGTGTAATCTGAAAATCCAGAAAAAAAAATTGAAACATTTGTTTTTCTGTGTTACTCTTAGTCCTATCTTATTACAATGAAGAGCTAATTGACATGATCTTTCCTTTCTTTTTATACATTTTGTTCCCGAAGATATATAGGGAATCAACTGGGACTGCTTTGGTGGATGAAGTGGGTTACGGAGATGCTGTGCAGAAAGCCGAAGCAATGGCGTTTCGTCGAGCTTGCGCACGCTTAGGCCTCGGCCTTCATCTTTACCATGAAGATTTGTAATTAGGCACACATGGAGCTCATTTCATGCTAATCTGACTCTCTACATTCTTCTTTGGTGAAACATGGTAGGACTAAATAGTTCATTATGGCTTTGATCATTTTGTTGTTCTGTAAGGACCATGCCTTAACAGCAACTGATGCATGTATGTTTGTCTGACGGGGGAGCACCGCATTAGCGCACGTGATATGTTCGAGACATGATCGTGTTGTTCGTGCATCCGTCGTACTAAAGACTTTTTCTCGAAATGGAGAGAAGCTTATTTTGGGTACTTTCAAGTACCCATCTTTTGTAGAAGAATTCTACTACTTGATGTATATGCAAAAGTTCATTTTCAAGATCAAGGATATAGGCTCCGTTTGGTTCAAAATTTGGGGGTTTTGGGAAAAGTTTTTGGAAAAAAGTTAAAAAAAAGTTGAATTGGGCGGGTATTACGATATAGGATTTATAAATTAATAAAATACCTTATATATTTATTTTTTTACAAAATACCCCCTATAATAAAACATTAAAAGTTAACAAAAATACCCCTAACCCACACTCAAACACCCCCAATCAGCCACCACCACCCGAGGTGGTTGAAGTCACCTTATGGGCGCATGACCGGCTGGATCTTGCAGGTCATGCGCCGATATGGCCCTTTTTGGCCAGATCCACGGTGGATCTGACCGGTAAAGGCTAGATCTACGGCCAGATCTGGTCGTCAACCTCCAGATCTGGCCGTATTTGCTCTCAACGACGGCCAACAAACGGTCGTCATTGATGGTCAACGACGACCGTTTGTTGGTCGTCGTGACCGACTGTTACGGCCAAAGATCTGGCCTTTTCCGGCCATATCCACCATGGATCCGGCCGGAAAAGGCTAGATCGGTGCACTACCGGTCAGATTCAGCTGGTAGTGCGCCATCCTACCAGATTCCGGCCATTTTCCGGTGGTGGTGGCCGGAATCTGGTAAATGTGGATTATTGGGGTGTTTTTGTAATTTAAAAAAAATATTTATGGGTATTTAATTAAATTATCAAATTTAAGGGGTTTAAAAAAAGTTGAATAATATTGGGAGTAGTATTCCCAAAAATCTGAGTTTTTTGGTATTTTACTGTTTAACTTTTTTAGGAATACTAAAAGGAGTATTCCCAAAACTGAAACAAACGCAGCCATAGTATTTAATGAAAAAATGTTAGGTAATAAGCATCTAGCAATAAATTAAGTGATCTTGATTTGATTAGTTCTTTCCTAAAATAAATAATCTATCTACATATATAATATTTCAGTTAAATATTATAAAGAATTATTATTATTATATCCTACATGATATGAATCGAAAAATCTAAACTCCAATAGTTTGTATCACACGTAGACTTGCATTTGAATATTGAACTACACCATGTCTCTTTGCGGTTCTCAAAATGGCATAATGTTTAGGCCCATAACCGGCCCATAATCCATCTTAACAGAAAGACGATATAACATAACCCCATATAATATAAAATTAATTTGCATATAATAAAATAAATAAAAACAAAGTTAGATAAGAGGAGCATATCATATTATTTATATATTTTTTCGACCAAATTTTGTAATATATATATATATATATATTAATTTTTTTTTTCTTTAACCACTTTTATGATTGATTAATTTTGAAATTAACGTATATGACATGACATATTTAGTTTGTATTTCTAAAATGGAAAAATTGTATGAGGTGAGATAATTATATCATGTATCTGTACATCTATTCAATCAAGTTTTTATCACGTATTATATATTTATTTTCACTACGTAACATAATTTAATTACCTAAATATATAAATAATATGATATATCCGTTCCATTGAAGACTTTGTAACGGAAATAGCATTCTCTTAAATCTTAATGGGCATAATTATATTATTTAAACTTCAATTTGCAATTGAATATTATATTCCAACTAGTTGATAGTATAATATTACATGCTACTTTAGCACATTAAATAAAATATTAAACTTGTAATCAACATGGAATATCACCTGAGACTATGAAAATCCATCACTGAATCTCAACCGTTTGATCAAATTTAGGTTGTATGGATAGGGATAAATTGAAAAAAAAAAAACAAAGGTTTGAAAAGAATGTTATTTAATCTTAGAGAATTCTAGAGATTTATACAATGTCCCTCTCACGGTAGTTGTAGAAGGAGACAAATAGTAGTCTCCTCAGCCTCATAGGAAGCACCTCAAAGAAAGAAAATATTTTAGGTTGGATGGATGTATATATAAGTGATCGATAATTGAATTTATATTATATAAAAATATATATAATGAAAAGAAATATGATATAATTTGAGGTGGGTCTGACTCCGAGTAGGCTTGAACTTGTCTAGTCGGTATGAGACTCCAACACTCTCCCTCACGATCAAGCTCATATATTGGGTCGTGCAACGAGTAGGTTTGAACATGTTTAGTCGGTGTATAAAGTTCATATGTTGGGTCTTGCAATAAGTAGGCCTCAGCATACTTAATTGGTGTGAGACTCTAATACTCTTTTTCACAGTCAAGCCCATATATTAGGTCATGCATGTTGATAGAGATCACTGTTAGCTCTAACTTTTCACCCGCTGGTCAATCACTCAGTTTAACTGAACCGAACTCTGATATCATGATATAATTTGATATGGGTTTGACTCTTCACCCTATAAAGCCTTGTTGAATAGAAAAATTATCCCTTCTTATAAACTAACAGGCTTAAGCGTGTTTAGATACAAGACTTTTTCATGATTTCTCTCTCTCTCTCTCTCTCTCTCTCTCTCTTTCCGTTTTTTCTTTGTTTTTTTCTTCTGACTGATGTCACTTTGTAGACCTCTTTGTATGGGTCTTTGTAAGTATAGTATTCTTCTTGGTCAAATATCAACCCTTTTTTTTTAATTTTAATAATTATATATAAATTCATAATTTTCTATTAAAATATTATTCTCATTTCAACAATATTAATAAAATTTCTTATGTATAGTTAAAATTATTTTAGCCATGTGAAAAATAATTTTTGATTTCGGTTTTGATTGGATGGATGCATATTTACTTGTTTTATTACAAACTTTCTTCTTGTTGAAAGTGTTTGTATTTTATTAAGACGGAGTATATACACTTGTTTGACCAGTGCGAACCATGTCATTACTAGTAGTCTGTACACATCACGTCATTAAATGACTGTATATGCACATATTTTATTAAAAAAAAAAATTAAGAATTTTTTAAGAACGGAGGTATACATTTGTCTAACGAGTGCAAATCATCTTATGACACATACATTACTATACTCGTCATATCATTGAATAAGTGTGTATATATCTATTTCATTGAAGAGTTTTTTTTATTTTTTATTTTTTATTTTGAAGGATGGGAATTTTGTGTGAATATTAATTAAACATTTTTATTGTGATTCTTTTGTAAAATGACATTAGAAAGAGCTGACAAAGGCCATGTGGTAGCTTATATGGAGAAGAAGAATTGGAAATCACATGTAATTTATTAATTATTTTTCTATCAACAACCCCGAACGGATAATTTAAAATTACATGTTTACCCTTGATTTATGAAAAACATAAAATTGAAGATATCTACTTGGTTAGACTTGAAATATATGATACCTTACCTTCTTGATGGAACTTATTTTAAACACAAATCCCATGGATTGTAAACATATATAGCTACTGTAGTGAGTAAGTAATGGGGATAAGGTCATATTATGAGTCTTTGCTTTTGGGGGCAGGAAGAAGAAGAGCAGAAGGGAAAAAAGAGTGGGTGTGTAAGTGTTCAGTGGTTGTCCAACAGTGCATGTGAGAGTGAAATCGAAGAACTGGCAGTGGGGTCGTCAATCTAATTCCTAATCTGATCCCTAAAGACCCTGAACTTTTAGTTTAGTACATGTCGATCCTAGCTTTTCAAATATTAGAAAATACCACCCTCAAACTAGTCACTGCTAATCAAATCCCAACTCTAAAACAACATTTTTTATGTAGAGACAAGTGAATTGCCTCTTTTGCTCTTACGTGTACGAATGAATTATATATTCTACCCTTATGTGCAAGGGTGAAACCAAGAATTAATTTTGGGGTGCCAATTTTTTTTTTTTTTTTTTTTAGTATACCTAAAATGAAAACTTATACACATTGATATGATTACTGTGCCTTATTAACAAAAAAATATACTTAATATAATGATATTAAGTATTTAAAATGTATAATTTGTTTTGAAAAAGAAGATAAATGAAAACAATATTCATATAATAAATTGAACATATTATAATTTTATTAAAAAAATAAACAAATTTATTTATTTGGCCTAAGATATTTGAAAAAATATATATATTTTTTGTCAAAATTTTCACCCGGGCTCTGTATATAGGGGTTCTGCCCATGCTTTACATGGGTTAACATCTTTTAGAATGAAGGTGTTCTATCCTAGTAGTTTAAGCTGTAGGATATAGAATAATAAAACGAAACTCTAGGGGGGTAAATGTAACTAGCTTTGCTTAAAGCCAAAGCCAGTGCCCAATTGGGTTGTATCGTTAAATTAAAGCTGCTGTGAAATTTTAGTCACTTTCTCCTGGTCAAAATTTACAAGTTGGATACAGCTGCCTTTGCCCCTCTCCTATTCATGAACTTGCCAGATAAGCTCACACCAACTCTGCCCTTTTCTTGTTTTCTTCTCATTCTCCTCATGTGTACCTCCGCCTTTCATCACAACCCTTCAATTCCATCATCTAGAGTTTTGACAACAATAATATTTTGTTTACAATTTAATCATACAAATAAATAACAATTAAACAAAATTTATGTAAAATAACTATTATATCTTTTATTTTTTCTCAGTTTGTATGATTCGATTGTAAAAACAACATTGCTAATTGTAAAACGTCTCATCAACACGTGACATTAACTTGTTGCATGAAAACTTCTTTTGTTCAATCAATCCGACATGGACAATATAACAACGTAAGTTGGCATCATAGTGAAGAACTGTATTACAAAGTTGTTATCTAGCGTTATAGTAAGGTTATTTCGACTATAAACATACCTATGTTGTGATGAGTGGGGGCTAGTGTCCCAACTCCAAAACAAAATTATTAATTTGGTTTAGTTTTTTGTTTTGATGACCTTGTATTGTATTAATATTTCTAAATTTGACTTTATTTCTAATTTACACGTTCTAAAGTTAATTTTCGAGTTTGTCCTTATTTTTGACTGTGACTAAAACGACTCTAATTTAATGCAAAATTTGGCGTCGTTGTATGAGCATCATGATGCCAAAACTAGACGTATTTCTAGTAGTGTTTCACTCCAATCATATGAACAAATCA